AGAATTCAGGATTAAAGTTTTTTATACTGGGTCACTGGCAGAGCCTGCAAGACTGGTAGCATCAGATTGGCTAGAACTCTCTAACCCCAATACTGGTATTGGTATCTGTAACAAGAACAGTGGTATTAAGAGTTTCTCCTTAATATCTAAAGATTTAATAAATTTTAAGGAATTTAAACTATTATATCCCAGGCTGATAGGATAAACAAAGAATATAAAATAAAAGAGCAATTTTAAATGCAAACAATATTTATTGTTTCACCTTACTTAATACAGGTGGATGAAAAAGGATTAAAATCAATCCACATGCATGCGTTTAAATGGCAGCCACGTTGTTTCTCTTCCTTTCTGGAAGTATTCTGTCCAAAAGTAATTTTCTGTACTCAAAGTGAAGAATTCTCTTTCTTGGATAGCGTTATCTCTCCTAACATAAACAAAGTGACAAGGAGAGAGAGAGAGCAAATCTAGCATGTTTGGAGAAAATTAAATCATTGAAATTTATTGATGTCAATATCTTGAAAAGTAGAGCCAAATCAACAGATTTACCCTAAAAATGTTTTAATATCCCGTGCCTTTTGAAAAACAAAAATTATTTTTCTTGGCTGGTGATTGATGTAGTTATGTATAAGTGTATCTGGGAATATCACAGCTTGAATGTCCTGTAGATGGTTGCTGTAAAATGAGTTTTTTCTTCAAGAGGTTAAATGGATGCTATACTAGAATGTTATGGATGGCACTCAGTATGTACTGGCGTGCCAAACAAATGAACAAGCAACTCAACGGAAAGCTAATTCCAGGCTGAAAGATAGTATCCGAAAGGATGAAGCTAGCAGGATATAGCTTACACTATCCAGAAGAAATTGCATCTTTATAAAATTATCCAGCATTTCTGGCTTTGATTTTCATAAACTGACAAAATAAATTTTTTAATTCTTTTATATTTTAGAGAATTTAGCACTGAAGAAGGATATTTCTCGTTCCTTTTTCTTCTCTTTTTCATTCTCACTCTCTCTCTCTCTCTGTCATTCTTTCTCTCACCCTCATTCTGTCGCTCCCCTCTCTAAGCCTCCGTCTGTCGCTCTCCTCTCTACGCCTCCGCCTGTCGTTCTCCTCTCTCGTCTGGCCTGTTCTCCCTCCTCCGCCTGTCTGTCGTTCTCCCTCTCTCGCCCTCCGTCTGTCGTTCTCCCTCTCTCGCCCTCCGTCTGTCGTTCTCCCTCTCTCGCCCTCCGTCTGTCGTTCTCCCTCTCTCGCCCTCCCCCCCTTTTTTCTTTTTAAATTCTGTAGCTTAGGCTGCACTAATGGAGAAAAATGTTATTACTGAAACATCAGGACCCATGAGGTGAAATTACCCATCTCAATCATTCACTGCTTTCTCCATATATTCTGTTGCCTTAATTGTAGCATGTTGCACTGGAGCAGCTACTAATGTATATTCATCATCCATTTTTAATTTATAAAATTTTGTGAAAACAATTTAACTGTTCTATACATAAATGAAGTTGTTACTTTGCTGAATACAACTGTGATGCATCATAATCTCTGTGACTTATATCTGTTGAATCAAAATGCCTTTTACCAGAACGGTTGAATTTAAAGTTCTTTTTTGCACTGACACCATTGTATAGCAGCATTGGTAATTAGTTATGGTCACAATTGACTCCCAATAATTGTAGTAAAATTTAAAACTACAATTTAGATTTTTACTATTTTTTTTTTTTTGTTTTTATTTGTCAGATTTGTGGATGTATCTGTTCATAGTAAACATTGTTATTTGGAATGTTCATTGAGATGACTATGGGTCTGATATAAAGTCCATACATTTTAGTAAATGTCATGACTCAGTTGTCAAGAGAAAAGGAAGGACAAGCATATTGACTTGGTGAATTTGGCATGTAGTTTCAGTGGTTAGTAATTTTTTCTTTTTTTTTTTTTTTATCTCTTGTTGCTTCACTTGTCTCTTTAGGGTAAGGGAATTGCTTGGCATTGATTTGTGTAAACAAGCTGGTACTTTTGAGTTGACTGACGATGACCTGCTGTAAAGTTTCATATTTGTTTCCAGATCAAAGGTTTTTGAATTTATTCACTCGCTCACTGTAGTTGATTGAAAAAAGATTTTTATACTATGTTGCGATCCTAAATTTTAAATCTTATTGGAAATCTTGTTTATGGAGCCTGCGGTTTTGGTGATCTTCATTGATGTAGTTTTTTTGACATGCCTCTTTAATTGTTACATGCTAATCTGAATATTCATGCACTGCCAATAAAATACTCTTCTACAAGAGATGCAAGCTAATTCACTTTACTTATTGTATATGTTCTTAGTTGTGTTTTTTTTTCTTTAATTTTACACGCTGCTTTTTTATTTTATTTATTTTTCAAAAATCTTATGTTTTTAGAAAAAAATTTTTCTTTTTGCAATTTTTAATTTTTTTTTATACAATCAGTCAGTTATGTGCCATGTATGATACACACTTAGGTGATCAGGTATCTTTCGATAAGTGACAATTTTTTTTTCCTGCAGTAGGTTGCCATTTCTTTCTGCGATAGACCAGTTGCCATCCAAGGCTATAGAACCCAGTCTGTTCTGCTATTTTACCCATATCTGAGGGGAGAAGAGGATATTAGCAAAGGTATTAGCACGTGAGTGAGTGCAATGGATTTGACTGGAATTTGAACTCGGCTCTCTGATTCCTCAATCTGAGCCACCATCCATTACTCCATCATACCTCCTCTAATACAATAACTATGCTGAATCCTCAATTCAACAACATGGGCTGTGACTTCATTTCTTCAAATACCAGGATTAACAAAGATATCAACTGCAAACTTGTGAAAGCAAACCATGCATTTGGCAGATTATATAATTGAGTCTGGAACAACTTTCTGGTGCTGCTTCCTCAAACCCCATTGGAGTGACTATCTCTAACGTTTGTCCTAGAACAGATAGAGGTCACGAACATTGAGGCCATGCTTTTGAAGATATAGCTACTCTGAGCAGTTAGTCTTCAGGACATCAATATCTGCCCAATATTGTGTTGTAGGGTGAATTTTCGATTGGATATCATGACAATAGGGTATCCAAAGAGATACGTGTTTGGAAAATGTGGCAACTCACTATCAAGCTCTCTACTCCTTTGTAAATAAATGCAGACCTGACAGACCAAAGGGAAAAAGAAGAAAAATGTCACCACAACATCAAACTTGAACCTAACCTTCCTCTGCAACTGCTGTAACCAGATCTGTTTGTTTTTCTTTGCATTGGTCAGCTACCAACAATCATCCTAGCTCTTCATTCCCAAAGCCAAGTCAATAAGAAGACTATAACTTAGGCCTGTGGGTGTGGAAAATGGAATTAGTGATCAGAATTAAAATTCCAACCAAATCTATTACAACTGCTTTTGTACTAATATCCTTGGGAAAAAGCATAACTCTATCTCTTTCTACTTCCCTCTCCCAAGTATGGATTAAATAGCAAAGCAGAATGAGTTTTCTATACTTAGGTGGTGGCCAATCTAGGAGAACTACTCCTAAATTCAAACAGGTGCTGTGAAATGTGATAAGCCCATTCCTCATTTCAAAATTTAGTCTGCTGTCTATTCTCACCAATCATCCTGGGCCCTGACTTTGCCACTTGATTCTGGAAAAGGAAATCAAAAGGGTGGGTCTGACTCCCCTAAAATCCATTCCTACATATGCCATTCCTTAAAATAAAATGTCATCATCTCTTGGGATGAATAAAGATGACTGTAACTATAGTAGTTTTAGTTTAAAATATATAAGCTAATCACTCAACCCATTTACCTGGATTAAATAATGTGGCACTCATCACAGGCATTTTCTGTTTTTCACTCTAACCAGCTTATCAGGTCATCCTGCTCTTTTGCTCTCAATGAAAGAAATAGCATTCCTCTTCCATTATGCAAACCCATCTCTCTAATTATTGAGCTTTCTCTCTGAATTATTTCTCTTTCACAAAAAATCATCAGGTCATGCTTTCTTTCTTTTTTCTCCCTCTCGTGATCTTTGTCAAGGATTTTTCTCCATTTAGTTATTTTCAAGCACTTTTTAAAATAGCTTTTTGTTTCACTTTTAATACTGTTATGTTGTCTTTATTTAATTTTTATGAAATTAATCTCTAAAGTAAAAAAAGATAAATGCTCTTTGTAATGATTTGGAAATAAAGATTGAAACTATACACAACCTGTTGACAAGCTAAAATCATATTCTTTTTCGGATTATTTTAACTGTCGTAAATAACATTAATGTATATATATATATATATATATATATATATATATATATATAAAGAAAAATAGTTTTAAGATGTGCTATATTTATGAGATAAAGTGCTCAATATCAGAGAGTGTATGTAAATATAAAAGTGAACATTGAAGTCAACACTCAGAAGTGACACTGTTTCATGCTAGATGCAATCATCAGGCCACATTTTCATATATATATATATATATATATATATATATATTTAACTAAGTATTTTCAGGTTTATGCTCTCTGAATATGATGTACTTCCCCAGAGGACTACTTTAATTTTTTTCACCAGGGATCCATTTATTTTCGAACTATTTTATGTAACCCACAACTCAACACTATAAAACTGGGGTAAAAGTAATACATTCTTTCCCAAAATTATATTTTTTTTAGATATTTTCATATACTCAGTCCTCTTTTTATAGGAATTTTTTCTTAAATGAGTAATTTATATTCAGTCACTAAAAATATTTAGAACATGTTCTACATACAATTCTAAGATTTTTTCCTTTGCATTGCTTTCTTGAATAGTTCAAATTTGAGAAAAATGTGCATTATATTATTTATTATATTTTATAAAAAAATACAAATCAATTCATTTAACCAAAATTAGATGTGCAAAAATAAAATAATTTTTTATTTATTTTTCAGGGCTGGAAGTATTGCATTCCCTGGCTAACATGATTATTATTTATGGATTAATATGGTTTGCTGGAGGAACAAGAATGTCAATGGTCGCTGCCTTCTTTATAAATACAGTAAGATTACAACATATTCTTTTTTTTAATCTTTCTTCCTTGTCTCTGATTCTTATGATTTCTGTATTAACTAACATTTTAAGAGCTTTTTGTATCTCTGCATTTAATACTAACCTTCTTGCATTTTGTTTATTTTTTTCCCTTTTGTTTACATATGCAAATCTATAATGCATATATGAAATGGAACTAGAAATTTAGCATATTTATTAGCTTGTACAACATGTGGTTCATAAGGATAATTACTGTCAGTGGAGATTCCACCTATAGTAGTTCATTCAGCCCCTATAACTGCCTATTTTGAGCTTCAGAAGATTACCTAGTTTTTTTTTTGTTTTTTTTTTTAATCATTTCACTTCAAGCAAGGCAATAAAGCCACTAAACTGCAAGAGATTACTGAGTGTGAACAAAATGAGAAAAAGAATATTAATAAAAGAACAGGTAGATAGCAGATAACAATTGACATTGCATATAAATTTTTGAAGATCAACAAGAAACCAGAAGAGAGCTCTATAAGTGTGAAGTGCAAGAGAAGAAACTGTTAGCATAGAAATTAGTGTTACATCTAGCCATTTCAACTGTAAAATGATGAGATCTTGCTACCAATCTAGTAGTATGCTTAAATTCATGAAGTCAAGGTATCAAAGAGGAAAGCTCATCAGAACAAATACCATGAAAATATAGGTTTTTATCAAGAATCTTTAAATAGGTAGAAGAACCAGACCAGATATGACAGCAACATTCAATGCAAGGATGAATTGTAAACTTATAAAAGTGTAAGATAGATACTGGCAAGAAAATTTCACTAGTATGACACACTGAACCAACTTTCCTAGCAGCAAACCTAGCAATTGATTCAATTTAATCTGTTTCATGTCAGTGAAAAATATTAGCCTGAGAAGGTGTAGGTTAGCATCAGCCATGCTGATGGAAGTCAGAGACCATTATAAAATTCTCTAAGACACTTAAAAGAGAGCAATTTTGTTTTGGCAGCATAAAAATTAACAAGCCATTTTTTGCCCTAGTTAACAACAGATTGTAGATCATTTTTGGGATCAGATGCCAATTTGACCACATTGAATCTATCAGACTTACCATTAAGGCAGGTGTAAATAGTTATCAGTATAGATACTACATTTCATATGCCAGCAAATATGTATTGTATTTGATGGCATAAAAAATGCATAGCATATTAGACACCCTTTCCTTTCATTCAGGGTATTGTTGTATGGTACATCAAATGTTAGTAGCACTTTGTCCATGTTCCCATGTATGGCAAAGTTCAAAACAAATTTCCTTCTGTGCATTTCTAACAAATTTATGAAATTCTAATAATTTTTCTTCATAACCAGCTGGCATTTTTTTTGTGCAATAGATATATTTGTATACCTTGATAAACTTTGTTGTTTCCTAAACCAAATATGCCAATCATCTGATCTTGCAAAGCTCTGAATCTTTCACTCTTCTGCTAATCTCCTGGCCTCATTATTTATCAACTTTGGTAGAAACACTTCTCCCTGAATTCCTCTGATCTACGATGCACTTTTTTTTATGCCATCCTCAAGTTGAGGCTACTGTGTGGCTTGGGCAACAAAGGTTATTTTTATCTTTTTTTAGCTGTCTTTAGTTGATCTTATTAATATCACCAGAAGTGTATAATTCATTTATTTATTTATTTTTCTCAGTAGGTGGTGACCAAAAATCTTTGCTCGTTAGTGTAGTCCAGGGTTTCTTAACCTTTCTGCATCATTACCTACTTTCATGTTAAAAAAAAAAAAATTTCCATTGCCCACCTGTATAGTAAATATTCAAAAACATAATAAAATTGGTAAAAGTTTGTTACTGGTTCATTAACTGACTTTATGATATAGTAAAAAATAATACCAAAGAGAGGTAACAAATAATGCTGACTGGTGGAGGCTGCTGCTGCTACTGCCTCATTAAATAAACTGAAAAATATATTTTTAAAAAAATATACCAAAATATTACTTGTTTTCAGGGATATTTATATCTTATCTTGGAATGTGACCCAGTTATTCCCATTTAGTCTTCTGTTTTATTTTTTGTTTATTTTGTTTTTATACAGGTTCTTTGCCTATCTCCTTTAAATGTCTTATTTTGAGTAGCATATGCTGAAATACCATTTTTAATATTCAAAATCCTTTATCACCACTAAAATTTTCAATCACCCACCATTCTCTGTTCAGTTGCTCATTGCCCACCCAACAGTTGAAATCACTCACCAGTGGGCAATATTGCCCAGGTTGGGAAAACTTGGTCTAGTCTATCATTTGTGGCTTACAGCAAATGGTGTAGTTTAATCTCTTCCTTCTTGTACCCATATTTCTTGAGGGTAAAATTCTGTAAACTCAATCAGCACCATTAGTGCCATACTCACTGGTACTGAACAAACCCACCCTTTCACCAGTCATTCTTCTTTGGCCACTTTAAATAATGATAGATTTCTTTGTGGCCTTAAGGTTACATTTTTTTGTCCTAGTGTTTTACAATCTTACTGGTATTAGATTTTAGTTTTGTTTTTTTGTAGTTCAGCTGGTTAATGATAGGTATGTATTGAGGTATATTTTGGGCTAAGGGATCAGCTGGTACCAACAAATGTTGCAGGGATTTCAAGATAATTCCTTTGACAATGTTTAACCTTTGTGCCTGTAAAAAAAAAAAAAAAAAAAAAAGTAACAGTTATTTGTTAGGTTTTGACATTATTATTATTGTATACATGTTTGACTTCCTTGTTTGGTTTCAATGTTTATTTACAAGATGAGAAAATATGAGAACCACCAAGTGCAATGTGATTTTTATTATTTACCATTTTATAAAGATTTATTTACCATTTTATAAAGAAATAAATCTGAAAAAAATCTTATTCAAAAATTTATAAAAAAATTATAAAATTATCAAAATATATAAACCAACCCAAATTCAATATTTATTATTTACCATTTATAAAGCTTTATTTACCATTTTATAAAGAAATAAATTTGAAAAGAAAAATCTTTTTCTTCCAAAAATTATAAAATTTACAAAATTCCTTTAAATGTAAAAAAGGTTCTGATAATTGGATTTAACTTACATTTTTATTCCTAATTAATCAAAAAAAATTATTCAATTAAATATTCATTTTTGGATCTTTATCAATTCTCAAGAATAAAAAAAAAATCCATTTTCATGTTTGGGTTTTATTAAAATTATAATCATGAACCTTAAAACCAAAACAAATTGAAATGTAAAAAATGTATACATAATATAAATATTCAATAACAGTCCTTTAATAGGTTTTTTTTTTACAAAAAAGGTTAAATATTGCTAATCCTGATAACAGTAATAATGGCATTTGAGTAAATAATATGGAAAAACAAAAAATTAACATCTGAATAAAATCAAACTAAAAGATAATTGGAATAAAATTAGACCCATGTTTTTTCAAAAATAATTTAGGTTCTGTCAAATATATTGTGCTCAAATCTACTATGCTATTTAAGGTAAGTTTTTCACATATATGGACGGAAAAGGTAAGAATTATTATAATAAATGCTGAAAATTTCTGTAATCTGTAAGAACTGATTCTAATTAAAGTTATACTAAAACATTTTTTTTCTTTTTTAGCAAATCTGTTTCATATGTGATAAAATAATGTTAAATTTTAAGCTAAACTTTTCTTGAAATACCAATTTTATCTTCTTTTTTTTCCCTACACAAACACTAAAATAATAATTGCATTAATTTTTAGATAATCTCACCTGTGTATAATTAGTTTCAATCTGACACTTCTTTTGTGATTTTACACTCAAATAATTTATAGTGATTGGTGTGGATTTTATTCTGTATTTGGCAATATATAACCTTGGTGCTTAAAAAAAATGTTTTTTGAGTTTAAATAACTTTTTTTATTAACACTGCTGGAACATAAACTAAAAGACTCCACTAGTTCAAAACAATGTTTATTTACAACATTATAAAATTACTCTCTCAAGGCTATATTTATTATTTTATAAATCTTTACTATTTCATGTTATAAAAAAATTTCAAAAATAAATTTTTGTACTCAAAAATATTTTCAAACCTATCTAGATTTTCAATTCTTCATATTCATTTTTAATGATTGGAAAATCATGGGGGCAAATTTCATTTTCCATAGGGTTTTGGAGATAGACCCTCATAATCATATATATTTTTTAAACTACATTACCCAGCGTTTCCTGTTTATGTATATTTTAATTTTGATTTTTGGTTTTCACACAACATGCTGAAATTTTTTTCCTTCTTGATTTAAATTAAATTTAACAATTTGAACAAGTTAATAACTCCTCTCCAAAATCCTATAAAAAAGAAAGGGCAGAAGATGTTTAGGTCACATTGGCTTGACCATTGAGTAATATTGAAAAATTTATCAGTTTTTTCCACAAATCATAACATTTAAAAATCAATCTTCATTTTTTACAAAAAAAAAAAAACCCTAAAAAAAACATCTGGTAAAGCATGAATTGCACCACATTTGTGTTCAGTAAAACTATATATATATATATATATATATATATATATATATATATATATATTATACAAATTAAATACAAAAAGACTTATTTTTTTAAGTTTGCAAATAATATTCCCAATTTATTTCCAGGGTTATTTTCTTATTGGTTGTGCAACCAGTTCTAAAACCGGGGACCAATACCGCATTGAATGGACAACATCTCATTGTGTATTGATCCTTAAACTAACTGGAGTTGTAGCAGATTTGTATGATGGAAGCAAGCCTTTGGTAAGAATTTTCTTTCTTTTTAAAGATGTCCTTTTCTGTCTTGATTTATTGATGTATATTATTTTAGATGTTAAATTATTTAGTATCTGTCTATATTTCTGAGATGAATGAAATTTTATTTTTACCACATTTGGACTATTGTCCTCAAACTTTTTGTCGCCATGTTTATCAAGGGCCCTTTGATGGTTCAGGTGATTGGAAAGTTGAACTGGACCCTTTATTCCATTCACTGGGTAGACTTTTCTAGTTCCACGTGCCATGTCTAATGGATGTCAGTTATCTCCTGTTAATTCCTCTCTCAAAGTTCTCCACTGCCTTAACTGGGTATTGAACTCTCACACTTTGGGTCCTGTCACTGGATCTAACTAATGCCATGATCCCCCATGTGATTTTTTTTTTTTTTTTTTTTTCATATACAGGTAACTAAAGAATTTTCACAAAATGGACTTTGCAATTATTTGAAAGTCTCTCTATTACAAAAAAAAAAAAAACAATTTGAAAAATAATTGCTTCTAGTTCAATTTTTTGTTGGTATTAGCTCTAAAATAATTTACAAAATATTTGTAGATTTGTTGAGACTTACCTTCTTTTACATTTAAGAGCTTGAAACCTACATTAAATAGTTAATCTGTAATAAGTATAAATCTTTAGGATAAGTTAATTACATTAATTAAACACACTAATCTTGTAACTATTCTGTAACTATTCAAATTATTTTATTTGATTTTTTTTTTTTTTTTTTTTTTTTTAAAAAAAACAAAAAATTGCCCAAAACTTTTTTCATTTTAACAAGATTTGTTTGTTACTGTCCAGATCTATTATTGAGTTTGCATTTCACTATTTGAAATCCTTGTTCCAATCATTTTTAATAAAAAATATTTTTTCAAAAAAGGTTAATTGGTGGTAATTATTCAATGTAGTGGAGAAGATTCCAATAAAGAGAAAATTGACTCTGCTATAATTTAGGTTCTATAATTCATTTTCATTTGTAATTAGAATTGAATGTGTGTGTGTGTGTGTGTGTGTTGACATATAGATGAGCATATAAATATCTGGAATATGTCCTAAAATCATTTTTTGGATGCAAATTGAAAAAATTAAAAAACAATATACTACAAATAATTTTTATATATTGTTAATTTCATCGATATTTATTATAAGAATTAATGGCCTTTTTAAGTTGTTATCTGAAATCATTATTGAACTTTATTTTCTGAAAGGATAAATTGGGTGCAGACCAAAAGGAAACTGCAATACAAAAGAAACCAACTTTGTTGCAACTAATAGGTCACTGTTATTTTTTTGGTGGTTTTTTAATAGGACCTCAGGTAAGTGAAGCTGAAAAAGTTTAATTTTATTTCTTTTTTTTATATTTGAAAAATGAGTTCATTAAAGTTTCTAAAAAAAAAATTATACAAAAGTGTCGAAAATATTTCAAACTGAATGAAGAAAAACAATTTTCCAAGAAACAATTCAGATGGCTGATCAAATTTTAAGAACTTGTAAAATTAATTATGTCCACTGTTTTCGCGAAAAAACAGCATAGCGTAAATGAAAAATGCCACAAACTTAAAGAAAATAAAGTTTTATCGTCAAAATGCTTATGTTATTATTAAGATGAAAGAAAAAAGTATTTTTTAATTATTTTTTTTGAAATTTTTTAATATTTTCTAACACGTTCGAAATTTTGGTTAAAATCGTTTTTGTTTACGTCATCGTGGTGACAAAAATAAGTTTTTTTTTTTTTTTTTTTTTTGGTTGAAAAACATATTGATTTGGAAATTCTTGTAAAAATAAAATAATTGTCCAATTTTAATGAAATTTTCAGGACTTATTCACAAATGAATGAAATTATTTTTGAAATTTTTTTTTTAGAAAATTTTGGTAAAAATATATTTTTTTTAAATATGTTACCCCCCATTTACTTAATTTCATGAAATTTCGAGAAAAAACCTTTTGGTTCCTGAATTTTTTTTTTTTTGTTAAAAAGAGGAGTCTTTGGAGAAAAGAAATAACCTATTTTTTTTTTTTGCAAAAAATTTGAGCTACTTAACTGAAAATCTGCTCTGAATTGAAAAATAATGAATCCAATAAAACTATGATATTACTTAATTAGAAAAGCTTTTAATTGCTTTTGTAAATAAGTTTATTAAGGACATTATTGTCTGAAGAAATAATTTTTTTTGATGAATAATTAATTTTTACAAGAATTTTTTTTTTTTTTTTAGAAATTTTAATTATAAATAATTTATAATAGTTTAAAATCGTTTAAAATTCTGTATTAGGCTAACTCCTCAATATTATTAAAATTAAGTAAAAAAAAAAATTTACGAATCCAAAATTGAAAAGTTTAATAAATTTAGTTGAGCGCTTTTTTTTTTAAAATAATTTTTTTTGTTGTATTTTTTTTACTTAATATTTTCCTTATTTCCATGTATGATATACAGAAATTGCCATTATTATAACAAGGTCACGTAAATCTAAGGGTTTTGTCCATTACGTATTTTTCAAAACATTTCGTTTATTAATGATTGTATTTTCCGATTAAAAAGCTTTAAAAAAACTAAACTTTAAATTTTAAATTATTTTTTTAAAATAGTTTTTTTTTTACTAAATTTCAATAAATAATTTTATTTTTATGTATTTTTTATTTCCAATTAGTGTGTGTCATAAAATCAAATAGAATAATTTTTTTAAAAAAATCAGACTTAAAAAATTATGTCATTTATGGTCATCAGTAGTAGCTGTCATCGGCTTGTCAATCAACCATTATCAAATAAGATCGAACAACTGAACAGGACCGCTCGTTAATAATTGGTTGTATATTATTTTTTTATGCTATAAGTAACAAAGATTTCTTTGAAATCAGATTACTTTAACTTTAAATTTTTAATTTTACTAAAATAACGTGTCAGAATTTTTAAAATATTTTTAAAATCGATAAATTTGTGTTTGTTTACAAATTTCTTAAAATTAAGAAAATAGCCGTTTTAAGAAAATTTAAAAATTTGAAATTAAATTTGACAATCAAATGTATATAGTTTCTATCTGAAATACACCATAATTGTTTAATTAATAGAAATCATAAATTTAATTATTAAACCTTCAATTAAAGCTAAAATGAAATCTTCAAGAATGTTTTTTTCGTTGTAAAAAATTCATTTTAAACTTCAATATAGTAGAAAATTTATGCCGAAATAGTGGACATACTTATGTAAAATGATTCTCAACAGATTTTAATCAATATTTATTTTGAAAACTTTTGAAGAATTGAATTTATTCTCAGGATTTTGTCTGCATTTTTTAAATTTCCTATTAAAATAGAATTTCTCCATTGATTTTATTTTTTTAAAATTTTTTTAAATGTTAAGAATAAAATATTTTTTTCATATTTAAACATATATTAATTAGTCATAATTCAATCACATGAAAAAAATAACTATATTTTTTTTGATTTCTTTAAACTTTTGTCCAAAAAGTGTTAAACATTTAAACATGCAATTTTCAAACAAGAAATTCAATTTCAATATGCTAATGAGATCTGTTAGGTTAATTTTGTAAAAAATTTAACCACACATTTTTCCCCCCTCACAGAACAAAAATAATGTTCAAAACCTTAAAAAAAAATACTCATTAAATTGCATAATTAAATGTAAAAAAAAAAAAAAATTTTTTATTTTATTTTATTTTTATTAAATGTATATATATATATATTATATATATATATTTCAAATATGTTTTGAAAGTGTTTTTTTTTAAATTTTAATAATCATAAATTATTTGAGTTGGAAGAATCCTCAACAAAATTTTGTTGGACGGCCTGTTTCATCCTTTATTTGGACTTTTTTAATCATTTAAAGATCCATCCACTACCCAAAATTGAAAATAGTCTTTTATGCTGTTTTTGCATCTAGCATCAAACACAATTTTTTAAAGGTCAAAATATAGACAATTTTAAATAATATTTTGAATAAATAGGTAGAATATATCCAGAATGCCAAACTTCATTTATTTTTGAAAAAATAAAATTCAAAATACTTATATTAATTTGTGAAATGGTAGGATAATTTCAAGGAGGATTGATTAATCTATTAATTTTCAAATCAAAAATTCTGTAACTATTTTTATAATAAAGAAAAATAAATTATAAAAGTATAAATCATCTGTTTTTTTCTTTCCTTTATATATATATATATATATATATATATATATATATATAGATTACCCAGTCCATTAATTTTTCCTCTTTTGAATGGATTAAAGGCTCATCCCTTTTTTTTGTGTTTAGGAAGAAATTCTTTTTGTTCAAAATTTCCTTTTTTTTAAATTAATATTACAATTTATTTTTTTTGTTTTCTTTTTTTGATATGAGTTAATGGTGAATCAATTTCTATTTTCATTCTTTGATATAACTAGATCTATAAAATTTTTTCTGGTTGTTTTTCCCACATTAGAATATGCCCAAACTTTTTAATTTTAGTGTTTTGAGATTATTCTGCTCTGATGAACATTGCAAAAAATTAATTCTTTCTATGCCATATTTCAACATGGAAAGTGTCTCCACAAGCAGCATTCTGATTGGTAGTTCAACCCTTTTTTTATGTTTTAGCCTGTAGTCTGCAGTTCTTTCCTGCATGTGAATACATTAGACAACTGATTGCTACTATTTTTCTTTCAATTCCCATCAAAATAAAACAATTTATGAATTAAAAGCAAAAAAACTTTAAAATTAAACAACAAAAAAAAAAATAAAAACCTCTAACTTTTCTTTCTTAAAACAAAATGTGGGAAAAAACCAATTTTTAATTTTCATTATTCATTGATTTAAAAAACAAAATCATCTCCTTTTTTTGATCCTAAATTCTGCAAGACTAATTTTAACTTTCAATCCCCCTTTGAATTCTTTATTCCTGTTTGTCTTGCTCTCTTTTAAGAACTCTTTTGTGTTCATTTTCATCAACATCTTCCACTTTTTTTAAATGGAATTCTTTGAATCTCCAAACCATTCTTTACATGTGTCCTCTACTTTTCTCAGTCTTTAAATAAATTCAGTCATCTTTCCCTTCATGACTATTTTAATGCTTAGATAAACCCTGATAATTAGATAATTGGTCATTAGATTTTACTTTCCCAACCATTTGTGTTTGTTGTATTTGGAATGTGCAAATATTTTAATTTCAATATAACTAACTTTGTCACTGACCTTGGCATTTCAACCCTGAAATTACTTTTTTTAGCATGCAAGTATAAATTCCCCATGTGTTTCTCCAGTAACCTGAATGGATACATAAAAAATGATTCTTTTTTTTTTTCTCTCTGAAATCCACTGTGTTCACTAATCATGCAGCTCAGCCCTTTTAGCAACTCAGATCATGTTTAGTGTCTATAAACATCTTTTCCACCATTGTCAACCTCCTACCAACAAATTATTTTCAATCTTTTGGGATTTGATCCAGGGATTGAGACTCATTCTGTCATGTCCCTTGGAATGAAGTCTTTAATCTTCCTGTTCAAAAATGCTTGTCTGAGGTCTCCTCCTGGGTGAAAGCCAGCAATGATGCTTTCATTTCAACAAGGAAATACCAAAAAAAATCATGTTCATCTCTCCATGTTCTCACCTGAATGCTCAAAAATATATATTTTCATTTAAATCACTTTCTTGCTGTAGCAGAACAACATGTCTGATTGCAACAGACATTTTTGTCTCTGCTCATAATGAGTGCAAGTGTGTTCTCAAAGAAGTGAAGTTTTGTTTGCTGATAGAAGGAACCAAACAAGGTATAGCATTTTGCAAAAGTTTTAGAGATTACTGATGGCTCCCTTCAAAGTTTGCTGAACAACAGCAAATCCTTTTAATCCCTCCTCTATTTAAAATTTTATTTCAATCCCTCCTCTATTGGAGGCATCTGTTTTGCTTTGTTAAATGCTTTTTTTTTCAAACTTTGACTTTGAACTTTACAAATAACATTTCAAACAAAATGGAGGCTAGAACTGAGGCTATATGCAGATAATCCAATGAATAAGACATCTAATTTCTAATAGATCTTGTCATGGTCAAAAAAGACTCCCTTATGTTTTCATCCTAAAAAATGTGCTTCTGAGCTGGTCAATTTCTCAAACTCTAAAGCTATTTAACTACTGCTTCCTGCTTTCCAGCTTGTTGGAAGTCCTCCTCTGTAATTCCTGTTTTTAAAACTCTGGAATTATTCTGACTTCTAATTATTTACCTATTTAAAATGTTTTTTTTAAAATATTTTAGGCTTTTTAATGTTGAAGTGGTTGAAGCATCTTAATTCAATGCTGAAATTTTCTGACAAACAATATGGATTCCATTTTGACCAGGTCTACTCTGAAATAACTGGCCATCAATGAATATTGTAATAATGTCAAGCTGTTCTCTGAATCAATATTTGACAGGGTTTGGCATGCTGGTCTTCTATGTAAGCTCCAGGACTACAGTGTTACTGGACAATTGTTTGATTTAATCCAATCATTCCTATCAAATTGTGAAATGAAGGTCGTTTTTGAACGGGCTCACTTTTTCATTTCTTTTCAAACAAACACAGGTCCCCCCAAGGCTCTACCCAGGGTCCTACACTGTTTCTGATCTTCATCAATGATCTTCCTCCTGACGTCATCAGTTCCCAAGTAGGCATTTATACTGATGACACTACCATTTACTCTTGTCACAATAGTAAATCCTCCAGAGCCGACAAAGTTAACCTGGCCACTGCTCTTGAAAAGGACCTCCAATCTGTGGTTAACTGAGACAGGAAATGGCTTGCAAATTTTAATGCCTCCAAAACGAAACTGCTCTCGTTTAACGACCATAGAGAATCTTTCCTGCCTGCCATCAGCATGGCTGATGCTAAACTCATGAGAGCAACACACTGTGCCTTTCTTGGCCTCATTTTTCAACTGACTTGAAGTGGAACAACTACATTGAATCAATAGCTGCATCTACTGCAAGGAAGGTTGGGTCACTGTGTTGTGCCAGAAAGTTTTTCTCATCAGTCCATATTGCACATTTGCAAATCTACCCTTTGTGCATTGAATACTGCTGCCATATCTGGTCTGGTGCTCCTGCTACTCATCTTGAGGTTCTTGATGAAATCCATAGAGGGATCTGCAATGTAATCAATACTGACTTGGGTCTCGACTTCAGTCACTTTCTTTCCAACATAACGTGGCTTCCCTCTCTTTTCTACAAATATTTTCATCTTTCCTTGGTACCCCCCCTGCACCTATGCCCAGTTTTACTCATCATCACTCTGTATCATACTGCATATCGGAGCATTCCTGCCTTGCTTGGGGTGAAATGATTAAGATATATAATATATATATTTATATATATGATAATTGGCACTTTACAGACAAAGGCTATCTCTTCTGTATTGAACTGAGGAGCCATGAGGCTGCAGATAATTTTGCAAACTAGTCTTGCTCCTGTACCATTTTACATATGTGACACATGAAAGACTTTTGGAAAGTCTTGAAAGTAACTTTACCCATGTGTCTCTTCAACCCAGCATCAGACTTGCAAGTTTTATCACAAAACTGACATAAGTATCCTGCAGGTCTATCAGGAAGGGCATTCACATAATCAGCATTAGACTGCTGATTTTCATATGATCTTCAATGACTAGCAAATCTGGCATGAGAGAGAACAACCTTCCTGCAGACTTTTCATACATATATCATTATCAAAAATATATATTGAGATTTTTACCCATGTCAGTTGGTTACTTCCAATTTTATTGTGAAAACAGTTGAATAATAAAAATTGACTCTGTGTAACCCAATATGCTGTGTGTCATTCTTTGGTAACCTCAGTGTCAAGAACCAGTGTTCATCATACCAGATGTGAGAACATAGTGGTTTGGTGTGTGTGTGTATATATATATATATATATATATATATATATATATATATATATATATATATATATATATATAGATATGTGCATGCTTGCTACTTTCGTCTGGTATTGCAGTATTGTTTTTCTCTTTTCTAAATTTCTTATTGCAAAGAAATTTTTTTTAAAAAGACAATATTTCCTATTAACTTAACCAAAAATAATGGTTTTTATTACTTAACTAATTCACTCAACTGTAAATTGCTTTATCTAATTTCTTTAACAATATTAGAAGAAAAAAATAATGGAATAAATGTACCTGAAAGCAATTTTAGCAGTTTCCACATTACCGCCAATTTTAGAAGTTGTTTTAAAGTTGGATTTATCCCATTTTGTGAAATATATGACATGTGCATGAGATGTCCAACACTTCATTTTAATCTGATATATTGATATTTTTATTACAAAGAAAAATCCATTTGAATTACTAGATTATGCCTTCATATACTTTCCTCCTAACAAAGCCTCAATTCTTAAAGTGAAATATATCAATTCTCAAATCAATTCGTAGGGGGGGGGGACAACTTTGTTAAATGAAATTCAGAGAAGTTCTTGCCACGTCATTTTGTTGATTGTCTTTGTAAATTTAGTAACTACATAACTGAAGTTGCTTTCTGTGATTTACTTCTATTACATTAATATTTATCAGTTTTCTTAAAGTTAATCATTCTGTTTTAGTTTAATTTCCAAAATGTTATTGTTTATGAATATTTAGGTTTTAAGATAAGTTTGCAAATAATACATAAAACAATATTAATATTTGATTAACTGATGTTATTGTTGCCTTTATCCGAATGTTCTAGGTTAAATATTTCCAATTCTTAGCATCCTATATTCTGAGAGCTGTCTTATATAAGTGATTCTTTAACTAAATCATTCTATTAACCTAGAGCATTGTGATAAAAAACAAGATGAAATAAAAGTAGTCAAAAATTAATTATAAAAATGCTACAAAGAAATTGGTTAACTTAAGATGACATATAACTATTAATCAAGTAGTTTATTTCTTCAGACTTGTTTTTTGTTGCATTTTTTCCCATAGTGCTCTATTAAGAGGTATCTAACATTAGTGGAAGGCGGCTTTTCCAGCAAAGGCAATGGTGTACCTGATAGGTAAGTTAAATTTGCCTCATTCCATTTCTTTTTTTTTTTTATCTGATGCAACTATTTGTATTTTATTCTCAGGAAATATTCAAATGTACTCTTTAAAAAAAAAAAAGACCTTCGTTGTTATCTTATAAACCTACTGCCTCTAAATAAATCCCACCGGACATTTAATCCATTTCAGGAATCTTAATTTTTTTTCTGGAACAAATTAAAGACAATGATTTTATTTTTATTTTTTCATGAAGGCTCAAATCTATATCTTTTATATTGCACTTCAAGAATTTTATCAACGACTAAAGAATTTTTTCTTTTTGTTCATCCATTTTACAATATCACAAAAATTATTTCTCTGAAATGTTTCCATTTCAGTTTGTTGGCTGGTCTCACTAAACTAGGTGTTGGTCTTGTCTACATAGGCAACTTACTGTTACTAAATTTCCTTGTACCAACTGATTACCTTTTCACTAAAGAGTTTCATGTAAGTGAATATTTTATTACTTAAGATCTTTATTATTTTTTATTGTAATTGAAAGTGTGAATAATAATTGTTTTATTGAATATGATTATAAAATCTGACTTGCTTGAAAAAATAAATAAAAAAAATCTCATGAATCTTAATTATCTCCCCTGTTCTTCGGATTATATGACGTGTTTGCGTGTGCAGAAGTTTCCAATCCAAAAGTTTCCAAAAAGCATTACAACTTTTGCACACACGTAATATTTTGTTCATAAATGTATAATTATTATTGTTTACTGTGTGTGATGAGTTTACTATATAAGAATAATTCATAGTAATAATAAATTTATTTGATGAATATAAGCATATTCATCTTATCAGACCGATTACATGTTTTTTATAAAATGTAGTTGGTCTGATTTATATTCATTAAAATTTATTACTGACTATAGATTTTTAAGTTTTATTCTAATTATTCTTATAATTTGCTCTCATATGGACAAAAGTCCTCTTTGGAATAATCCCTACCAATTATATTTTGGTATTATTTTTATAATATATAGTGAAAATCTAGTTTTGTCTTCAGAAATTTTAATGGAAAACTATTTCAAAGTGCACACTCATTCTGAAATATCTTTACTTTTATAACAAGGAGAGGCCATTGCAATTTTTTGTTTTTCTTGTTAGATTGGAACATTTATTCAAGACACAAACATTTGTCTTAGCATTATTTTTCATTTTCATTTCAGGATCTGTTGTTGCCTTTGAAATGCCTCTATGTGTTAGTGTGGGGACGATTTGTATTAACACGTTATATTTCCTGCTGGCATATATCCGTGAGTAACAATTCAGCTTATAGACAAATACAAGGAAATGGTGCATCTGATACAATTAAAAATGATTAGATTATTAGAAATTTCTCTATTTTATAATATATTAGTAATGTTGGTAGCATGGCGTTCCTATTTATTCAAGGGTAATAATCAGTTACACATACCTTCATTTTCAAGTATTTTTTTAATCTTCAAATATTCTTTTGTTTTCTTAATAGTAATTACTATTATTTAGGACACCAAATTAAAATATGTGTAAATATAGAATTATCACTAGATTTTAATTTGTCAGTGCTTATTTGAAAAAAAGAAAATGACAGAATTCATTTTCTCCAAATTTGTTAACTGCTCTAATCTCTGCTTGATATTTAAGCTATTTCAGTCTTAATATTTTTAAACAAATTTGCAAACCAGAAGATTTTACAGTATCAAAATCCTACTTTTTTACCAGAAATAACAAAAATATTTACTGGTTCATTTTTGTTCCTTATTTCTCTATAAAATAATTTTGATATATTGTCCTGTTTTCATTTGATAAATAGAAACCTGTCATTTTTGGAAATGAGATCTGAAGATTCTTATGAACATTTTATGTTGAATTATAGGAAGGAATTTGTATACTAACTGGCTTGACTTACAATGGAATTGACAAAAATGGCAAGAGTCAATGGGATTCCAGCCAAAATATAAAGTTGTATGAATTTGAAACGTCATATACACTTTATAATTTAACAAAAGCTTTCAATGTTCAAACCAGCACTTGGATGGTCAAGTAAGTAGCTTTTTTATAGTCAAATAGAAATCTTTGTATCTGATTAGAATGGTGGTTCTTAACCTTATTTTTTTCCCCACTTTCCACTAGCCAACCAAATCATTTCCTCTCTCCCAGAAAGAAGAGAAAGCAAGTGGTTTTCATGACATTTTCTTTTCTTTTTTTTTATAAAAAGGATACTAACAAAAGACTTAATCAATGGAAACTTTGGACTTGTTTTTGTGATACTAAGTGATCAGTATCAAGGGGAGTTCATTCGAGAGCACACCTCAGATTGGACTCAACATTCAGACAATTGTGGAATTTTGTTTTAACATTGGTAAGTGCGGAGAACCCTGCATCACACATAAGCTGTTGCAAATTGCACTAACACATTGCTGCCCAGTTTTGGATACAGAATGGAATCTGAGAGCCAAAACTTCTCCAACTCCACAGCGCATTGTATTCATCCTTTGCAGAAAAGTCATGGTAGAGCCCAAGGAATTCTCCTGAAGTGACTCTTCAACAGTTCCAACCTCACATCGAAATGGATTGTTGATCAATGCATTTTGAGCATTCTCGGCAACAATCCTCAGAAAATATCTTTGGAACTCATCTGTAAGAGCAATGAGGTGATCAGCAATGTCTTCAACAATTCTTTTCAGAATAACATCATCTCCAACACAATCACCCAAAAAACACAAAATTGCCCCTTTCTACTCGGCTCTTCCAGAGATCAAGTTTGGCCACGAATGCCTTGATTTTATCTGTCTGGATCAGAATGTTCATATCATTTCTTTGAAACTTCTTGTTGAGTTCCTTAAGCTCCCCAGAAACATTGGCCAGGTAAACCAGTCGAATGTGGAAGTCATCATTTCTCAACTCTTCCAAAATAGTCTTTCCTTGTTCCTCAAGGAATAACACAACGTCATTGAACAGTTCAAGCACCCTTTGAAGCATATTGCCTTTGGACAGCCATCGGGCTTGCATATGAAAAAGCAAGGCATCATGTCCTGCTTCCAAATCTTGATAGAGTTGTTGAAACAGCCTTATGTTAAAAGTGGAACCTTTAATCACGATTGACAAGTCATCACAAAGGGATCTTGGAAGAGTTTTTGACATAAGTGCTTCTCTGTGAAGCATGCAGTAATTAGATTGGGCTAGTGGATTCTTTTGCTGGATGAGGGTAACTAATCCAGATTTTGAACCCAACATTGCAGGTGCTCCATCTCTGCACACTCCAACCAAGCAATCCCAATTCAAGTTATGTTCTTTAAAAAAAAAAAAAAAAAAAAGAAATGAGGACAAAAGTTGTATGACATCTCCCTGCTCTGTTTTAAGTGGTTGGCAAAACAGAAAATGCTCAATTTTCTCTTTGTGGATGTACCTCACAAAGACCAATAGTTAAGAAAGATTTGAAACATCTGTTGACTCATCCATTTGAAATGTAAAGAATGGTGACTTAATTTACATAATTAATCACTGCTTCATACTCTCAGCCAGATCGTCAATATGAGAACGAATAGTGACATTCAACATTGAAATTTGCTTCATCTTCTGATAGTCTTGGGAGACTGCCTATCTTGGTGCAGGTCAGCAAACTTGGTTTCACCAATCATATGTCCCTTCTTATTCTTCACAATCTCATAGACAATTTCGTATGATGCTTTCACAATTGCAGCTGTTTGGTTTTGGAAAGTTCCAGTCATGTCTAATCTTGCTTGTTTCAAATTAGCCTCTTTGAATTTGAAAAATGCATGACCCTTGTCTAGAGGGCTATTTTCAAGATGCTGTTTCAACTGGAATGGTTTCATGGAGCCATTCCCCAAAGTTTTCAAATGTTGCTCTCCATTCTGGATCAGAAAGAAAAACCTGAAGTCTAAGTACGAATCTTGATAACAGCATTTCTTTTAGGATATCTTCTGAGGAAAACGAAAAGAAAAAAAATGTCAAATCATGACTCAAAACTTGGAAAGGTTGAACAAATATAAAATTGCACGTGCGAATACAAGCAAATATAAGCTTCTCTCTTTCTCTTTGGTTTTATAATTTTTATGATATTTTCATCAAGTAATTATAGTAAATGGGGTTTGGTTGTTGACTAATTCATATTATGACACACAGGTGATAAGAGATCATGTGAGTTAAATTCTTCTAAAAAAAAATAAAAATAAAAATTAGTGTGGATGTCTGAACCGTTACTTTGATTTGATCATCAAAATAACATATTAGATTAATATTCTAATACCAAAGTGGGGTGCAGTTTGTATTTAAGCAGGTGACATCTATATAAATTGGAAAATCTATTGTGATTTTCAAATATCATTTTAAGAGTTGCTTTAATTTTAATTTTTGAACCTAACATTTCAGCAGATCCATTCTCTGGCCTTCTTTGACCACACAGTATTGATAGAAACTACTCAGTGAGTAAGGGATCTATTTCCATACAGTTAGTACACTTTAGGAAAAACCATAGAATCTAACAACAAACAACTCTTGGAATATATAAAAAAGATTTCAGAGATTCTGATGTCTTTAAAAAGTAAAAGAATTGGGTTGAGGGTTTTGATAGAATAAGAATTGCTGTAATAGTTTGCCAACTCATTTTTTTCTCTTCTCTTGTAAAAATTTAATAGATGTTCATTGTAGAGTATGAAAAATATTTTTTTTACTGTTACTTCAAATGTTTAATGCTTGTTCCTTTAAATTACAGGTATTTGATGAAACGACTGCGATTCTTAGGAAATAAAGAATTATCAAAATTCTTCACATTTGCATACCTTGCTCTCTGGCATGGTTTATATTCAGGCTATTTTAATACATTCTTCTTGGAGTTCTTGATGATAGCTACAGAGACATATGTAAGTATCTAGTTGCTGGTTTTTGTCTATTAATATGTAAACATTTTTGTTTTTTTAATTTTGAATGAGGACATCAGAGAAAGGTTATTTAATGTGAAAATCTCAAATGGAAATTCAACATTCATCAGTTGTAGTGATTTGAATGTTTTCAGTTAAAAATTTGACTCTTACAAAGTGAGGTTTGAAAGTTCATATGCATATTTGGGCAGGAACCTTTCTTTTAAACATCTTTCATTAAATATGACCGACAAGGAAAATTTAATTATTTTTTTTTTTTAGTTTTTTCACCATTCTTACATTTTTTTCTGTTTGGTGAGAGCAAGTATCTTTTGTCATTATATAACAAAGTGGAAACTTTTTTGTGTGTGAGAAATTTCGTTCTTAGGATTTAATTTGACTAAAGCAATTTTTTTTTTTTTTTGCTGATGTAATTATTTATGCTCTCAGAAAAGGAGGAGAGTATAAAAAAAACGTAAACATAAGTTATAATTAGGCACAGGTAGGAAACCCTGAAAATGTTTTAATGCTGGAAATTTCAAATTGAAATTATTTTACGGATTATCTGAGTATATAGACTAACTCAGTGTTCAAGTCTTTATTTTAAACTGAATGCTAAATTCCTTAATCTCTAAACAGTGGATAATCCTTTCTCTTCTGTCTTCCTCAAGGGATTTAAATCAGTCATTATCAGCTTCTCTTTAAAAAAAAAAAAAAAAATTAGCAGATTCTCCATAAATCCCTTTGAATGAAAACTATCACTAATCTTTAAAAATGCTAAACCAAAATTTTATCTTTTCAAATCTCATGACTAATTTTTCCTTATTAAGTCTGAGTTTTAGTTATTCTACAAATGCACCTTGAAGTGCATGTTAAAAAAGGGGGGGAGGGTTGAGAAACTGGTCTAGCCAATTTCATTTTCTTTCTTCTGCATTATAAAGTATCCCACTTTTCTTAACATTCTTCTGATATATAAAAATTTGACACAGACACACAAAAAAAAAAAAAAGTTAAAAAAATTAAAAATTCAGGTTGTATATTATTTTTTGTTTTAATATTTAAATTAGGTTCCTCAACTAGTTTCAGCCAGCATGGCTATCAGGAGAAAAAAAAAAATCCGTGCTTGTTAATCATTCACTCCTGTAGTTCACTTTCTTCAAAGATAGTAAAAGTGAACTTTGTAGTTTTCAAGTTTTAAGATAGAGGCTGGGAGATTCATGAGTCTTAGAATCAACTCCTTAGTCATTTTGACAGCTTTATTGGTTGCTGGGAAGGGGAGATAGATATCTATCTATATATATATATATATATATATATATATATATATATATGTGTGTGTGGGAGACCTGCAAGAATTGTCTGGTATGGTTGAGAAATGTGGGTGGGGGGTTTATCTATGGGATTATATATCAATTAGTGTTGTTTAGTCTGTGGACAAGCCCATCTGGACAAAGTGTTTTGAGATACAAAATCCATTTGTCTTCATGTTCCTCTAGTATTTTTCTAAGATTAGCTTTTGTGTTTCTATTTTTTTCAATAATAGTGAATTTTGCATGGCTATTAAAATCATGTTTTACTAGGTGGAAATGTTGTTCTACAGGTAATAATCTTTCGTGGGAGTTGACTTGATCAGATTCCAATAATTATTAATTCTGTAGTGAAAGGGCCATTTGGATCCCCCCCCCATATCATTTTAAGCCTTCTCTACTAGAATATTTTAAAATGATGATCATACTGGTAGCAAAACATGAATTTTCCCCACCTGATTTTTAAGTTAAACATTATAGAAATTTATTACATAATTAATTTTATATTATAAACAAATTGCAAAACTAATTATGTAAAGATTTTCTTGTTTTTTCAACTGAATTTTCCAATTCTCTTTTGTTAGGTGATTGATCGACTAAAGCACAAGAAAGTGCCTCCATTTCCTAAAGGAAAACTGAATGGTGTTTGGTTATGGTTCTTATTTAGGGTTATTTATTGCCAATTTTTCTGGAGTTATGCATTAATATCTTTTGAATTGTTACAATTCCAAAATTACTGGGAGGTAAGTAATGTTTTTGGTCTTTATTTTCACATGTTCTTAACCATGTCATTCTGATATGGACTTTTTGTGTTAATATTGCATGACAAGATGCATCTTTCTAAAATCAGCATCATTTTTTTCTGAACTGAAAGCCAACATTTTATTCAAACATTTTCTACTGTCTTTTTTTTAGTTCAGTTCATTATCATCTTTGTTGGATTTTCTTTTTAATACTTTTATTTATTTATTTTTTTTTGTCCAGGTTTATTCTTCAATGTATTTTATTGGCCATTTGTGTCATCCATTGGTAATTTTAATCACCTACTTGATTTTTAAAAGACCACCAAGAAAATCAGAGAATGGAATACAGTAAGTACACCAGATTGTTACTATTGCATCAAAGTGGTCCACTCATAAAATCTATAAAGTAGATAAATTTTACTGACTACTTATTGTTGACATAAGTTGATCAGGAACAGATGATAGTCAGAACAACCAGCCTGGTAGAAATGTTGGTTGACAAGTGAAAAATGGAATTTTTTTTTTTTTTTTTTTTTTTTTTTTTCATTCATTTCCAAGTTTAAAATTTTGACAAGAAAATTTGTGGTTGAGAACTATTATAAAAAATTTGGTCAAAGGCTGGAAGAGAACCTTGGAGAAACATACATAGTGACCAGCTAGAATCTTTGATTTTCCTAACACTGTCTCTTCTCTTGACCCCCAGAATGTGTTTATTTTTTTTTTTATTGTATAGTAGAAAACGCTTTTCTCTCTCTCTCTCTAATATATATATATATATATATGATTAATTTTGTTTCCATTAAAGCTGTTTTAAATTTAGTTGACTGTGAATATGAACAGGCCAAACACTTATCGAAGCTGTGAGATTGTCTTTATGAACTCGGACTCTGTTGGTAGAGCAAATAATTTGCTCAACTCTAACAAAACAATTTATTTAAAATAAAAGATCTGGAAAGGTCAAAAAGTGCATAGCTAGAGAAAACCTTGTTAATTAATTTTATTTATTTATTTATTTATTTTTTTTTCTAGGAAAGAAAAAGAGCTGTGATGTTTGGCCCCTGCTGTAACTCTATTTGAAAAGAACTCATTGATCCTGTTGTGGTGTTCTTCCTTGGACAATATTTTTTCTTTTTGGCTTGGCTGACACAACTAACAGAAGGCATCAGATCTATTTTATTTTTAACATTTGATTATTTTCATTCAAAATACAGATGACATTAAAACTCATCTCTTAAAAAAAAAAAAAAAAAAAAAATTATATATTTTATTTTCAATTGAATTGTTACTGTTGATATGTTTCTCTCTAAACAAACTATAGAGGCTCTTTGGGACCAATACAATAAGAAAAAAAATTAAAATGGAAGAATTACTGAAGTGAACTCAAGCTGGTTCCAAATTGAATGTGTAGACAAAAAGCCAGAGTCTTTGTTGGGATTTGGTAGTTTTTGTTAGAAGATATTCCATGAATATCCAACAGAAATTTCAGTTACCAATCACCACTGACTCTCTTTCTCTCTCTCTCCCACTTCTACAAGTTGTTGTCTATGCACATTGCAGATCCAATTAATAATTTCTAATTTTTTTTTTTTTGTTAAACAAAACAAAAAAAAAAAAAAACTTTGTTGCCTGTTTTGTCAAGGAGGTTGCCTAACTTTTTAAGAATCCATAACCAAGATTCATGTGTGTATGCATATGAGAAGTCAAATACTTATATAAGTCGTCCAATACTGAACTGCGCCAATCTGCTATATTTGTGTTGTGGTCTATCCTGACAGACAAACTTTTTTTTTTTTTTTTCTTTTAATTTTTTGGATGAACTTCAGCTACACTTTCATGATAGTGTGTGTGTGTTTTTTTTCCTTCCATTCAGATAATATATATATATATATTAAAAAAAACAAAAAAAAAAAAAAAATTCTGCTACAAAGTGGATTCGCTGACCTTTTTCAAAATCCTTGCCTGCCTCTCATTGGTGGTTGTGTTTGAAGGAGGCTCAACAAAAAGCTGCCCCCCCCAATCCCAACCTTATTTGTTTGTGCTTTCACTGCCCTCCCTTCCCTCATTTTCCCAGATTTGTTAAATTTCTTCCTTTTTCAAAATCCTGTTCTTGTCTTCACCTGCTGCTAACATGGGAGGGGAGGGGGGTAATAAAATGAATAAATATATAAAATAAAAACAAAAAAAAACTTAAAAGGAAACAGACAAGAAAGTGATTGCAAATGCCCGTCCTTGTGGATTTGGTTAGCAAAATGAAAAATTTAAATATTGTTATTTTTTATTTGGTTTCTGAAATAAATAAATTCAAAAAGAAAAATATTGACATTTTTCTTTTTCCTTGACTTTTAAAATTTGCTTTTCTGTTTGTCTTTTTGTCAGAGAAAAAAAAAATGGTAATGTCTACCCTCTTTTCTAAATCATCTTATGAAATGGTTTCCACTGCTCCTTCTCACATAACCACAAAATAAGGCCCAAGGAAAGTTTTTCACATGGGATTTGCTGCCTTTTCATATATAATATATATATTTTTACTTTTTTCTTTTTGTTTATTAAAACTTTAATATATTTCAATAAAATAAATGCGTTTTATAAATACAGATTTGGTTTTAATACAAATTATAGTACTGTATATTTTTCTTTATATTCTTTTAGTGGTCTGGCTCATGAAGCTACCCCCGCCCCTCACTGTTAAAAAATGCATTTTTATTTAATATATCTAACCTTTTGAAATTTTAGTGATATAATTTTGACAAACTCTTCTATTGCTGAGTTTTAAAATGCATTTAACAATTGGAAATGAGAATTATTACAAATGTGGCTGTCAATTTGATTTTACTTTACTTTTTGTTAAATTTTATGTTAAATTTTATCTAATTCACTGCATTTAAAATTCATCTGAAATGGCTCAAGTAACAGTGTGGGGGGGAGATATTTAAGATAAAATTTAAAGGATGTGGGTATGTTTATGAGGGGTTTTTTATTATTTACACAATATCTACAAAACATTAAGGTTTATTTTTTATCAGACATTAACTTCCTATATAGTCTTTTGTTGCACACACAGAATTAGGAATTTAAAACATACAGCCATATTTACAGTGGTTCTACTTCTGGAGGGGAGAGAAGGAACTATTAAAGTTACCAATTCTGATTTTATTACACCCCCACTTCCCAATATACTTGACTCCTCATTCTGGGAGTGTAAAGTTAGTGTAAGCATTTTCAGCATGAAGAGAAGAATTTTGCAACTGCTCTTACTTTGCATTAATACCCTTTAGGAAAGACCTTGTTACTGACATTTTATGAGGGCTGATAAGAAAGAGCAGATGAATAAGCACTTACCTCACCCACTTAAAAAGACAAAACCTCTCTTGGCAGGACATTCTTCTATTCTCTTCAGGATGTTAGTGATCATGGCTCTCCACAATTTCTAGGCCTTTGTAGGTCTTAATAAATTTGTCTTTTTGTTATCTCTCCTAAACCTTGCTCTGCCATCCATTCACTCAAGCTTGCCAGGTAAGTTTATGGATTGTTTTCCTTTGTCCTTCTTGCTTTCAGTCTGTCCTGTGAGTATCAAATTTTCAAAGCCCTCTTCATTATTGTGCTAATGCCACTAGGATAGAGGGAATGAGGAAAAAGGTCAATAAAGGAACAAGTTTCAGGAAGACAGATGGTGATTAACATTGCTGGTGGCAAGGAAGCAAGAAATCAGAAAGGAACTCCACGGGTGAGAAGTGCAAGAAAATCTGTCAGATTAAAAATGGGGGTTGCATCTAGCATGTTCAACAGTGAGACCTAGTTAACAATCTAGTAGCAACTACTAGCATGCTTAAAATTTATGCAGTTGAGGCACATTTAGCTCATCAGAAACAGTTGCCATGAAAATATTTGTAGAAAAGACGGAAACCACATCACAGTTGAAATGTCAGGATCAATTGTATTACAGATCCTTTGACACTACTCCTTGAGCTTGTGGAGATGGCTAGCATACCAAATGCCTTTGAGATATCTACAGCAACAAGGTGGACATTCACAAGTATACTGGAAAATGAGGGTATATTTACCTTAGCTGCAGTAAAAACAGTGTGCATTTCTTGGTGGAAACAGATGACTTAATAGTTGAAGATTACTTTTTTTTTTTTTTTTTTTTTTCTGTAGCTTTTGAGAATTACTGCCACACAGGTTATCCAAAAGCCCAAATTTTCTCTTCTGTATTTCCTGCTTCCATATTCAGTAGTGCAAACATTGGTATAGTTGGCTGTAATCGTTTTAAGAGCCATAGACTCTCTTTTCCTACAGGGATGGAGTTTCAGTGAATGCGTCTTTACTAATAAAGTTTTTTTAAACTACATGAGTCTAAGAGCAGTAAACTGTCTACATTTTATGGTGATCATTGTAGTTGCATAAGAGATTTGGGGGACATATCTGGGATTACACACAAACTTGGTTTAAAATTAACCATCATGGTCATCATCCCAGATGACTTGGTCTTTGATCAGCAAAGTTGTGTAAAGTGTCCAGTTTTCTCCACAATTAAATCATGATACTATACGCAGGAAAGACTTTCCAATTGTGAGCTGCATTGCCACAAAATTAGCACTTTTTCTGGTAAGATGCTTTTGGCAAGGTTAGAGCTGTGGGGGGGTTCTCTTGGTTCCAATGAATAAAATTATCAAATGTTCTATTCCAATGCTTCCAGTCCTTAGAAGTCTCAGTTGATATGGTTTGACTATTTTGAACATGTTAAAATTATTCCATCTTTTGGTGGGGAGTAAATTTGAATTTCTTTGGGTGAGATTTAAAAGCAATTCAAAAACAGCAGGAAGATGAGACTGTGATAACCTTAAGAAAGGCTTTATTCAACAAAAACTGAGCCAAACAACACTATTGAGGTCTCTCCACATAATTCCCCCCTCCACCACCAAATACAGTGTAACCCGGATATAAGAGACTTGTTAGGACCGGAGAAGAAGTCTCTTATATCCGGGTTTGGTCTATTTTGTTTATATTAACACTAATTTGGGACCAGAGAAAATCTCTCTTAGATCCGGGTTACACTTTACAACAGAATTTGTAAATGTTCATTTACATACATAATTCTAAAGAATTCATTTCATAAAATTGCTATTTTTATCATTTATGTAAATGGAGAAGATATAAATTTTTATATACCAGAATGTTAGGGAAATTAATGACAAAGTGTGGGGAAATTTTTGTGTGATTTTTTTTTTTTTTGCATGGCTGTCTGATGTTCTAAAGGATGAAATATACCACACAAAAAATTTTGCCCCCTTTCTCATTAATTTTTTTAACATTTGCATAATTATAAACAATTTGCTATTGATAAAAAAAAAAAAAAATTATCTGAGAGAAGTGAAATGTTTTAATGTATGATGCAGCTTTTTGTTCTGATAAATATTTGAGGACAGGAAGTGGTGACTTTTTTTTTAATTTTAAGTTCATTGCAGCAGTTTTACAATTTGTTAGTATATAATACGTGCATCAAAATAGAATTATGAGGGAATTCAGTTTTTTTTTTTTTTTTATTTATTTTAGAAAGTGAAAATTGTGTGTGGGCACCTCGAGGTGGTGTAATGGTTGGCAAGCTTGTCTCACCAGAACAATTACGACTGAGTAGGGAGTTCGATCCTCACTGGGTGCCCCCTACTTTTAGCCTTGTGCCACATCATTTACTTGGAATAAATGAGATTCCACACACACACATACATATATATATATATATATATATATATATATATATATATATAGACATTTTTATGTTTATACATTCTTTTTATAAATACAAATATTTAAGTAAATGCTCTGTTTATTATAAACAGTATTAAACAACATTTACCGGCCTGAATGTCCAAGAAATTTTCACAGAAAATATTCTTCCTCCAACAGGATTCGAACCTGTATCCTATACGGAACTTTAACTGATTTGGCCACAGAGGAGCGTTCGGTTAGCAAGGTTGATTTTACTGTCTTTAAACTACAATCTTCCATGATTCTCTCACGTACATTCATATCTGCTCATGGCGTATCCAA